ACTTGGATGGACTCTCTCTCTTTGGTCTGCCAGTGCCCTCTCTATCTGGAGTGAATAGACATTTCTCTATGTCTCTCCCATGGAGGACAAGGTCCATGTTCCTTGAGGTGGGTTAACAGGATGTCTGAGGGACTTTTCTGATCTATGAATCTTCTCAGTAGGGGACCCACATGAAGTCTGGGGATACAGTGACAGCCTTGGGAAGTATCAGGATGGGCAATGTTTTGGGCAGAATTACTAATTCCAAAATCTTGGGGACTTATAGCAAAGTTCTATAAGAAAGCCACACTACAGTCTGTGGAGAGAATGTCTGATGGATCTGTGACCCTCCTCCACATAGTAAGTCAGGTCTTTCCACATTGTGCCTTCGTCAACTGCTGGCATTCAGAGTCGGGGAGAGAAAGAAACAGTGGAGAATTCGCAGTGGCTTTGCAGAAACTTACATGACACTCCTGGTCACCTTCTGTTGGGGAGAACAAGTCCTTCAGCCATACCTGGATGTGGGGATCCTGGCAAAGCAGGGTCCCCTTAGGTGGTGAGTTTCCTGCAACCGTACCACAATGACATGGGAAGAGTAAGAATAGCCGACAAATGGACATTCGGGTCAGACTTAAGCTCTCCAGAAAACCCATTTTCATCTGCAAAGCAGAGTCCAAGGTCTACCCCAGAAGATCCTTGGGAATCTTAAGATGAAAGATAAAACCACTGGCAAGCAAGCACCAGGAAAGGATAAGTACTTGTTGCCAGGTTCGGAGGCACACACCTATAATCCCAGCATTGCATCTTGAGAAGGGGAGATGGGAGGACAGCAACTTTGGGACCAGTCTAGGCTACATAGCAATCCAGAAACTGTCAAGGCAGAGAGGAGAGAGGGAGAGAGGGAGAGAAAGAAAGAGAGAGACAGAGAGGGAGAGAAAGATATATATATAAAATATATGTTATATTATATATATGGGGGGGCAAGCAGAGGAGGAATTGAGATTGTAGAACCTTCCTACAGCACTCGTGTTTTCAATCAGCACAATGAGATTGGTCCATGTGATAGGTGCTTCCCAGCTTGTTCAGGTAATAATAACCAGTGCCGGTGAACAACAAAAACAAAAATAAATAATAAATATAAATAAGAGGCACATCTCATGAAAGGGAGGTTCCTATCGGGCCTCTGCCTGCAGACTGCCACATTGCCCCATCCTATTGTAACAAGGATTCCTCACAGGCCATTTCCTAAACCTTCCTGGCCAGAAGCACTTCCTGCCAGCATCTCCATATCCCAGGGTTCCTGTTTATTTAGCTCCATGGGAGGAGAGGCAGCCTATGTAGACCAGGCTATCCTTGATCTCACAGAGATCCTCCCACCTCTGCCTCCCAGGTGCTGGGATTAAAGGTGTGTGCTACCACATCCAGTTTTGGCCTTTGTTTTTTAACTAATTTCATATTTCTTAGGTTGTGAGGCAGCCTTGCTGGTTAAATCAGGTCATTTAAATATTTAACTGGGGTGGTTGCTTTTGTCTACCTGATCCAGATGTGGGCACTGAGATCAGAGTGAGTCTAGCAGACCAAATCCAGGAGGAGAGGGGCTCCTAATACATTTATTGAGTTCCCAAGAGAGATTCAGGCATGTTTTCGAACAGAAAGAATAACGCCTTCTGTTAATTTTGTTTCTCTGTTTTAACCTCATTGGCTAGTGTATAAATACACACCTTTTTTATTTACTACAGTGGCTTTCACCAGGGTGATTTTACCACCACCTCCTCCCCGTGCCCCCAGAATACTCAGCAATGTCTGGAGACATATCTCTGAAGATCACACATGTGAAGGTGCATCTCCTGTAGAGGTCAGAGAGTGCAGTTAGATGTCCTACAATGCACAGGCTCTCCTAAGAGAATTACTGGGACCCAAATGTCACCATGCTGAGGGGAAGAGCCGCACATGCTTGGAGAACACTGTTACACAAGCACCAAAACCTTAAGGGGTGGGTTGCATGAATGAGTGTCAAGTAAAGAGACCAGTGACTGCTTGGCGCTGCAACGCATATGTCCACCTCCATTCGCCCTGGTTTTCAAGCCAGAAACCTAATTTTAATGGGAAAGTTCACCTCCTTTAAAAGTTCACAACTAATTTGCATACCTTAAAAATGCAATGCAAAAAGTGCACATCTGGAGGGTCTAGAAGCGGAGTTTAGAGAGCTGACCCAGGACTGCAATCTCTCTAGCACAACGGGTGCCTTCCCTTTACTGAAGATGTCTTACACTTCCTGGGAGGAAATCTCCCACATGGCTTTATCCCATTTCCCTTCCCAAGTAATTTTTGTTGCACTATTATTATGTAATAGAACTTGCTAGAAACATCCTTTCTTTTCCCTCTACAACAACCCTAAGAGCTAAGTAGACACACACTCCCCCATTTTGAAGATAAAGTGTTCAGAGTCACAAGGCAATTAGCCAACTTTTTTTGCCTTGTACATAATCTTTTTTAATTTTTAAAAATATTTATTATTTTTATGTGTATGAGTATTGTCTGCATGTATGTAAGTGCACCCATGTTGTGCAATGCCCACAGAGGACAGAAGAGGGCACTGGATGCCCTGGAACTGGCATTACAGACAGTTGTTAGCTACCATGTGGGTGCTGGGATCCGAGCCCAGGTCTTATGCAAGAGCAGCCAGTGTTCTTAACTACTGACCCATCTCTCGGGTCCCTCATATAAAATCTGTTATTTATTATTTTTATGTATCTTCAGTTTTCATAATATAATACATGTTATACAATGTGTTTCATATGTATTGTTATTTAAGCTGGATAGGTATATACCCATCCCTGTTTAGACAAGAAGATTATACTTCAGACAATTAATATTGGTTGCTTAAATTTACAGAATTTTCCTGAAATCAAATTTTATACATATATATATATATGTGAGCTATTACAGAGGAGCATGGAATTATGTATTCATTGCAGACATTTCCACAAATTGTTTAAAAAACACTGCATAAGAAGTACTTTGAAAATCTGGTATAAAGGCAATTCACCAACTTTTAGAGAGGGCATGCAAGTGGCCATGTTAGAATCTGAACCCAGGCTGTCGATCCCAGACCTGTTCTTAAGGAGAAATTCAACTTGCTGGTTCTTCAAAGTCTACAGTGTGACATCTGCCGGGACTTCTCTCACTTGTGGGTCAACCCTCCCAAGCATCAGTACAGCCCTCTGCTCAGCCTCACTTCCTAAAGAGCCCAGAACCTCAACCCTTCGAAGTTGCAGTTTCTAACTGGGAGTGAGGTTGCTCCCCAGAGTACAACTGGCAATATCTGGGGACATTTCTGCCAATGGAGGGCAGCCTTGGCATAGCAGGTGCAGGCCAGGGGTACTGCTAAACCTGTACGGGACAGAATCATGCCAAAGAGCAGCCCAGTCTAAAATCCCAGTGGCGCTGAGGCGGGGAAGCCCTGAACTAGGACATTTTGTTATCATGGACTAAGCAGGCTGTAGAGCATTCCCGGCGATTCCATCTGCTCTGCATCTCAAGCACCGTTTTATACCTCTCTTCACATCATTCTTTCTTTCCTTGCCCTGGAATTCCCTGGTAATCCTGTCTCTCCATGCTAAATGCCTTCACTGAAGAATCATCTTGCACCATTTTTTAAAGTTCAACAACAGCAGAGAAAATAAGAAAAGCAGCAGTTAGAGGAGGCCAAAGAAAGACACCAAAGAGCGAAACAATCCCGAGGTTCACACACACTGGCCTCTGGTGCCTGAAATATTGTGCTTTTTCTGGAAGCCATTACCCAAGCCCACATCAGACGCCGATGAACTCAGCCCCCTTCTGCTAAACACACAATACACAAACGCAGGAGCTTGCTGGATTTCATAAATGATTTTAATAGAAAAGTACAAGATATGAACAAAATAAATAATCTTTATCTCCTTTCTAGCCCAGCAAAATTGAACACTGTATATTTAAAAAAAAATGGTCTAAGATGTAATTTCCTTTCTTTGGAAATACTGGGATAGCATTTTTATCCAGTCTTCTAGATTCAAATTGATACATTTTTTTTTAAAAACGCTCACACCTTTAATTATATGTACTTTTTAAAGTTGGCTCACAAGATGTTTCCCTAACATAAAACATTATCCAACCATCAAATTTAAGTGTAAACTCTGTGTTAACAGGCAAATTAGAAGATACCTTTTCTAAATTTTAATTTTTATGTCTCTGAATGTTTTCTGAGTCAAAAATTTTCATCAACTTACTTTCAAAATATGCATCTTGTTTGTACCACTCCGTAGAGAGGGAAGACTAGAAAATGCTTCTTTTTAAAAAATAAATATTTTAAAGTATGCTTTACAGAAACAGTGCAGTACTTTAGAACTGTTCATCGTGTTGTTCCCATCAGATATGTGCTTCAACTTACAAGCACCTTCACAACCCTAGTCTGTTTCTACTACAGACTGAACAGTTTTTAGAGGTGGCTTTTGCTAACAATTTCTCAGAGTCAGCTACTACCAGGCTTGTGTCTTTAAGTTGTATCATCATCCTGCACTCAGGTTCGATTTGAAGGTTCCGGTGGCTTGAATCATGTTGCAGAAAAACAAATGGAAAATTGCTACCAGTATAATTGTCTTGAGAAAGAGTCACGGCAAACAGCTGTTATCATAGAAAGTGCCAGCCCAGGAGGTCATGAGTACAAAGAATTGAGCAGAGAAACAGTACTGAAACACAACAGCCGTCCTTGTCCTTGAGCTCCATGCTGACCATTTTGAACACGGTTCTGCTTGCTGCTGCCTATATTTAAATGGTCCTGTATTGGGAGGATCTTGAATGCACTCCAGGATGGGAAGGAAAGGAGATGCTGACACTGCTACATTGAGTATATGTTTTTGCAATAAAGAACACTGGTCAATATACAACTGAAGAAAAACTGAAACAGATGTGAAGCCTAGAACCACAAGCCTTTGAATTTGCCCAGAGATGCTATTTTAAACACTCTATATGTTGGTCTACTGTTTTTTTTTTTTTTGGAGTAATGCATTCTTGGTTTCCTTAAAAGGTTTCAGTATGTTACAAGGTTATCCCTTCCCACCAAAAAAGCAAAGGGCTAACTAATATATCAGTCTGCACAGGCAGGGTCAGAGCATGAGGGCTTTTGTTTATTGCATGCCATACAACAAACTTTTAGTTTTCATCCTCAGGACCATGCTTTCTTTTAATAAAAGCTGCCTTCAAAGAGGCACAGAGATACCCTACATGGGTCATGGGAAGTTCAAACAGAGAGGCATAATGCAGTGGTAGACACTAAGTTGCATATATATATATATTATATATATGTTGCATATATATATATATATATGGGCTAAAACTTTGATCATGGGGGAAGGCATGGGCCCTTTTGGTTCATCTCTGAGATAATACAACAGCAACACGGTCTAAAACAATTAAGTTGCATGCATAATGCTAAAAGAATGTGAGCGATCCTATGGCCAGCTTTAAGCCATCTGCTTGATCTCTCTCTCTCTCTCTCTCTCTCTCTCTCTCTCTCTCTAACATGTAAAGGAAAAGAGAATTCCCCTTTTGTTCCATTACATATAAAAATCTTCTGACGCTTCCAAATAGTTTGGTTTTGGTAAAATTCTCCGCTCTTCTATTATCTGAACATGTAGTCATCCTAAGCCAGCCCTTGTGGCTTCTGCTGAGAAATATCTCCACATGAATTGTCTGAAGGACAGCCGAAACCACTACGAATATACAAGGGACATTTTATTTTATATTCTCTCTTCCATTGGCATAAGCCTTTCGATGCTTTTTAAAAACCAGTGAAATATACAAATCACACAAGACAGAATATGTACATTAAAAGAACAGAATAAAGGCCACAGAAGATGTACAAAATATCTGAATGGCGTAGAATATCTTACATTAAATAGGTTTTTTTTTAAGCTAGGATTGTTAAACTCAACTCTGTTCATAAACATGAATCACTAAAAAAGAACACAATCTGGTTTAGCGAGTAATAAAAACTACTTCATGGTTTTTGTAGAATAAAAACCAAAAAAGTGACGTTTTAAACGAATTAGTGCTTCTTTTTCATTTCAAGATCTTTTGCTTGCAATTCATGGCGGCTGAGGGGAAGTGAAAATTCATGTGCAATAAGTTAAGAGCCACTGAGCTGAAGTGACAGGAAGGCCACCGAACCTCAGAGAGGAGACATACCTTTTTCAGACCTTTAGACACCGTCAGGCTGAGAAAACAACACAACAGGTGCCACTTTAGGAAAAGAGGCGCACTATTTTCTTTTAAGAAAACAGTTAAGCTAGTTATCTATGCAGTGAGCTGGTTTCCTTTAGGGACTCAGTCAGTGCCCTCAGATATGACAGGCACAGGTTCACTCTCGAAGGAATTGAGCAAAGCAAAACAAGTCCTGTATTCCTGGGCTTTGAGAGTCTCTCAAGGTCCAGACGTGTAAGAAACCATTCTGCCCTCTCCACAGACAGTGCCAAAGGGAGGGTGGAGAGCGGGGGGTGGGCAGAAGACAGAAAGACTACTTTTAACTAACATGAGTTCCATGGCCCCATCAGGGCAAGCTTCCTCAGAATCTAGCTTCCTTCCTGGTGTTCATGGTAGGATCCTGGGGAGCCACAGGCTGATAAGGTCAAGACTCAAAAATCTTTTGGAAAAAAAAAAAAAATCCCAATTGGTTTGCAATGAAGGGCAATCCTCCAGGCAGAGAGCAAGCCCAGAGCAAACTGTAAATCTAAGTTGTTGACTGCACTGAGATATAATTATATCTATATTTATATATGTATATATATATGTTATGTACAAAAGACTGAGATAACAGGCACCATTAAACCTCATCCCCCCTTATAAATGAAACTGTTCAAGTATACTGGGAACAGTTTTAGGGTACACCTGCAGGATAATAGTAAAAGCAGGAACGAATAGCCTAAACACAGGATTATAACAGCCCAACTGCCACGCCTCTCTGGACTCCTTGAGCCCAGTAATGTCACCAAAACATAGGAAGTCACTGCACCTCAAAAGAAAAACGTCAGAGAAAAATAATCTCCCTAAGTAGCTGTTTTTAAGTACAACTCCTCACGTTTTGTTTCCTGCCCTGTGATCAAAGGGGACCCAGTGCTCCTGCCATGGGCAAGCACGGTGGACATTGTTATCAGGGCACAGAAAGTCCAGAGAGGACTTGGGTCAAACAGGAAGGTGGCTGTGACTTTCAGTGTGCTTCATGGGTAATTTTTGTTTTTAATATTTAGAAACCAAGTATCCCTAAAGAAATAAGATAACTTTCAAAACAAGATGTTTTTTGAGCCAACAATCCCTTTTGCCAACCAGAATCGGCTGGGGCTAACACCTTCAGATTTAATGGTCTTAATGTAGGAATTTTCAAGTTTTCTAATTTCTGGGTACATCTTCACCCCACCCACAGGATCCCCGAGTTTCACAAACTATTAGAACAGGATCATCTGAAGATGGAATATTTAAGAATAACACGTGACATGTCTGTTGACAAAGATAAGAGATTCTTGATCTCACATTTTAAAAGATCAGTTTGAAAATATAAAAAGCAGGCTGGTAACCTCTGGGATGGGGGGTCTTCATTCTCTGTATTTTGGGTATATATGTATATGTGATATGTCTGTATTTAAGACATGTTGTCTTGTACCAGGACATTTGCAATTCATTTTTGTTATAGAAACCTAGTCATTCATCAGTTTATACCCCCTTTTACCTTCATACCACCTACTGAACTCCACATTGGAGAAAAAAAAAGATATTTCCTGTACCTTCTAGATGTGAACCCCATCCACACAGTTAAGTTAGAGTATGTGTTATTTCCCCTTTATCCAATGGTATCTGAAGGAAGAAGTCTTGTACTAACTTTGCCAAAATCTGCAAAATAAATATTTTTCTTAGTTGCCCCCACTATTGCCAAATATTAATTATAATATTAATAATAAACCACAGAGTTCTTAGATGGTAATAGAAAAATATGGTTCTGGTTGCAATTCTTGGGGGGAAATTAGAAGAATGAGAATCTTTGTACTTTCTATAAATAAGTGGGTCCTGGGAGTGGGTGACACGCTGGTACACGCCCACTATTTGCACACGAACTGGTCCACGATCTCCGTGCACTTCTTGCACTTGACATAGCAGCACCAGTGGAACTTGCAGTGGCAGCGCTCGGTCTGCACTGTCTTGAACTGGTCATAGCCTCGGCCACAGCACATGAGTTCGCAGCCATCCATGCCCTCCGATGTCTTGTTGCACAGGCGGCCCTGTGTGCCCAGCGAGCCCGTGCTCTCATTGCGCACGCAGTAGTCCGGACTCGGGTCGATATAGACCAGGTCCTGCGTGGTGGGCGAGTTGAAGCGGCTGTTGACCTGCACCAGCTTGCCCCTGCTGTTGAGCCGCATGGCTGCTGCGCTGTCATACTTCTCCTTGAGGGCATCCCCCACCTTGCGGAAGTCCGCTAGCTGCAGCCAGCACGTCTTGAGGCTACATGAGCCGGACACCCCATGGCACTTGCAGGCTACGTCTGCCAGGTTGTACACCGTCTGCAGGGGGAAAGGGAAGGTTACTGTGCAAATTCCCAGAGGAGCTGAGATGCAGGCAAAGTTTTCGTATACCACCTAAGGCCGGCAGGTTCTTTGGATGAATCAGGGGCAGTGGAAGTTCATTTTCCACTGCTAGAAATCTTGTGTTGCCTTCTTCAAAAACTCTACTGAAGAAGTAGCCCTTACCCTTTTGTCATTCCTTCAACAGCTACCTCACTGGAATGAGCCAGAAGAAAGAGTCATTCTCCACCTTTACAGGACAATCGGCAATGCCATGTGAACACCATGCTCCTCGCCGTCCTCCTTCAATGCAGAGCCACATCCAGCCCACAAGGGGTTCTGCTAGCCCCCTATTTCACGGATAAGGAAATAGAGGCCTAGAAAGATGAGTTCCTGCCCAACCACTGGGAAGAGGAGGTGCCAGAATTTGAATCAGACAGCTAGACTCCAAGCTCATACTCAGTGACTTGTGAGCTGCTGATAAGCACTCAACTGGTGGGGTCTGAGTTGGGATGGGGTCCAGCCCTAGAGGGACTGAGATTCCAATCTTCACTCACTCTACATTTATTACCGTGTGGCCGCACTATCGGGTTAGTCCTTACCCTCGTGATCTCATGTAATCATCTGGCAGCTTTGCAGCGAGGACAGGACTAAATGACACATGGGCCTGATCTCAGTTATGTTCACTCCTGCTTCCTACCCAAATCCCTACTCTGTCCATTTCCTGCTCTGGGTCTCAAGGATCTACCTTGTAGCCAGGTATACCAGGACTCTATGCCCAACCCTGCCCTTGAATTTAGGCAACCAGCTACACTTTCCTAAGGCAGCCATCTGAAGATGTTACCAATCTCCCAGCACTGTTAGGAGGACAAAATTGAGGCAGGCAGGGAAAACACTTGGCACTCCAAACTCAGTAAATCCATTCTTTCTCCAGGGTGATGGGGCCATGATGCTGGGCCTTTGCCCAGTCACCTCAGGCCTCCCAGGAGCAGTGCTCATGGATCTGGCCTACAGCACTGTGCCCAGCAGTCTGGGAGGTGGTGGTTGCCTATTTATAGCCCTGACTGCCCACAGTTTCTCATGCCAGCGACCTTCTAGAGTCAGAGCGGTGTGGCTGTGCTGGCCAAGGCCTGTCAGGAACCTGGAGCTGCTTCCGGCCAAACAGCACCTTCCTCCTCCAGAGGTTCATAAGGGACTCTCTTTTAAAAGGTGCCAGAGCGTACTCTTTTGCCATAAAGATTTTCAGGCACTCAGCTAGTCGAAGAAAAGTTTTGCAAATATATTTAACCTTTGCTCCTTTTCAAGAAAAACCAAAAGCTAATGCCCTGAAGAAATGTTAATATGATTTCCTGGCACAGTGTCCAACTTTCCAACACCCTCACCTCCAAATCTTAGAGAAGTGCTGCCTCCTGTGTAACCTTACTGGCCAGGATCCTCCCTTAGCTCACTGATGTCATGACAGCACATAGTCAAATAAATGTCACTATTGAAAATGCAGGTTTTGAGGGGAAACATAATAGAACGGGCACATCTCAACTTCCCCCAAGGGTCCTTCTTGCCACGTGAAAATCTTTTGACACTCTCTTGTCAGTGGACAAACCCCTGATGATTTAGGTCCAGGAGAGAAGTGTAAGGAGGTCCCAAAGCTGGCCTGGTACATTTCTGGTTGGAGATGCTGGGCACATCCTACACAGAGGGAAGTGATGTCCCCTTGAGGATGGGAACCTGGGAATGGGCTCTTATGGGTTTCCAGAGAATGGAGCTGCCCCCTTCCCCCCCCCATTCTCCACCATCACATGTAGCCCCATGGCATAGGAACAGTCACTGAAGACCAGAAGCTGGAGGCCTGAGCTAACACATGCTGCCCTTTCTCCGGAGCAATTACCTGAACCCCTCAGGGCAGTACAAGAAAAATCCGACTGTGCTGAGTCCTTCTTTGACACCACAAAATGTTTAACATTCACTTTGAGAGGAAGCTAAGTGACCTAGAATTATCTACACAATCTTTGACTTGCCTGCGTCCTTTTACTCTGTAATGTTTAATCATTAACTTATGGTATATCAAGTGCTGACTACTGGCTGACACCAAGCTAAAAATCTTAGATTGACCCAAAGGAAGCATTATGTTGTGGGTCCAAATAGGCAAGTACTGGAAATTTTTCTTATGATTTACACTACTATCTGACCTCACTTAGTCTTCACAATGACCCAGGTCATTGTGGCCACTGACAGATGTGGAAATGTAGCAACTGAGGGTCAGAAACAGAAAGGAATGGCCTGGTTTTAAACCAGCTTCCCTCCAATGACTAGCCACTAGCTCTTTACCAGTAGTAAGCCCTGATGCATATGTTTAAAGCAAGTGACTCCATGCTTATAACACAAATCCGCTCATTTTCTTCCACAGCCACTAAGTGGCTCTCTTGGCCTCAGTTTCCCAATCTTTGAGATGCGGGTGTGGGGCCAGAGGGTTCGAAGGCTCCTTCCAGTCTTCTACTGTCTACTCTGTGATTATCTTCTACTTTCCTCACCCTAAAATACAGAAGAGTGAAATCTCTGACCAGAAAGTTCCTGGCACCCACCTTGGGTTCTGTGAAAAATAATGGCCCTGGTTTTCAATGCTGCCAAAGTTAAGAAACGTTTTCACCCCTTCATTTTAAAGCAGCCATAAAGTGCCATGTGTTTAACCGCAGGGAAAAAGGGTCTTTTTTAAAGGTCTTGGAGTCCCTTTTCATATCCCCACTTGGGGAAGGAAAGAGCGGGAACCTGGAGACTCAGGAAGGCTGTAAGGCGTCCTTTCTGGGTACTGCTCCACAGTTTTTCTCTCAAGAGCCACCCTGTGATTGGCCTGCTGGACAGACCTATGCAGCTTCACACTGCTCAAAATGCAGTCCTTTTCCTAGAAAAGCTCCTTTGAAACACCCTCAATTCATCAGGCCCACTACATGATGCCCTAAGGCAGGCAAGGAGAAAGAAAGGGCTGAGACCTTGCTCAGCAGGGGACCCAGGAGAAAAAATTCTAATGCTCTCTCACAAACTGGAACCCAGCCAGCAACCTATGGCTTTACCACCCAAAGATGGGGACCAACGAAAAGGACTCAGACGGCCTTCTCAGAAAAGAACTGGAGGTCCTTGACTGGGGACCCACAGACAGGATAATTCAGCCCCCAGGGAGGAGGCCTTTCTTGGGTGTGCACCCCTCTTCAGAGAGGTCCCTTGGAAAGGCAGAGATGGTGCAGAGAGACAGAGAGAAAAGAGGAGTCTGAGAAGGACAGAGGAGCCAGGCTTGCAAGGCCTGAACAACCCAGACAGATCTGGGAGGTGGGGACATGAAGGCCCTGGTTGAGCCCTGGGACAAGCTACTCACCCTTCGGCCTGCCTCGTTGTTATGCAGGTTCATGAGGATGCGTGCGCTCTCATAGGAGCCCTTGGCGTGGATGCGCTCCCGCTCACGTGCGTCCACGAACTCCTTGGCGAAGCGGTAGCCATAGTCTATGTTGTCGCCGCAGCCACCCCACAGCCAGTCCCGCGGCAGGTCCTTGGGGCGCGCAGCCCGACTGCAGCCGCAAGTAGACAGCTCGCCCTCTCGGCAAGCTCGGCTCATGGCATTCACCACTCCCGCGGCACTCACGGCGTAAGTGAAGGCCGTCTCTCTGCTGCCTGTGGGCGAGGATGCAGGTCACCAGCTGCCCGCCCCATGCATGAGGCCTGGGCCCTGCTGGAGGACGCTGGGAGAGTCCCAACACATCAGTCTGTGCTGGGGCAGTGAAAGCCCCAACACACATCACTCCATGCTGGCATGGTGGGAGCAGTGGGGAGCCTCCAACACAGCAGGCCTGGGCCATCATTGTGGGGATGGGGAACCATCCCCACCACAGGGGAGCAGGCAGCTCCCAGACCAACTGAGAGGGGGGGAGCCCATAAAGCAAGAAGATGGGGACCCCCAACACACAGCAGCCCTGGGTTGTCTGGAAGGGGGTAGAGAGTGTCCCCAATGTCTTGCTCCTGCTGCTGGTGCTGGTGCTGCTGCTGGTGCTGGTGCTGCTGCTGCTGCTGCAGAGAACCAATAGAAATGAACTTCAGGCTGGGCCCTACCCAGGCCCTGAGCCCACCTTGAGGCCAGCTCAGAGAGACAGATCCCAACACATACAGAAACAAGAAAAAAACAAAGGAGAGGCAGAGCCCTCTGTCTTAGGGGACAGTTCAGAGCCTAAGGCAGGGCACTGCTGAATTCATTTTCCCTAAGCGCTTTTGAAGATATTCAAAACATCTTATTTGTAAAAATGCACATGAAGGAGTCATTGAAGGAAAGCTCTGCACTGGGCTAGACTTCCTTGCCCTTGTTCTAATGCTTGGTACTATTTTCATCTTGAACAAAACAGAATATACAGGCTTAGGAGCCTCTGCCAGTCCCAGGGCCCAATTCTAAGTCAGATATGCCCCATGGCCACAGTTAGTTCTATATCTGTAACCTCTCCTCCCCTGTGCCACCCTGGAGCACAGAGCCAGTCTCTGGACATAAATCTTGCCTGGCAATTTACCATCCCACACAATGTTCTGTTTTAAACCTGTTCAAAGAGTTATCAATGAACTGTGCTTCTTAAATCCCAAGCTAGTTCACCTGATTTGAGAATGAGCTTCAATGTTTTAAAACAGCCTGCTGGTCTTGATGCTACTTTTGCAATCATCCTTCGTCCAGCCTCTGCCCTCTATCTCTAGCCACAGCCTTTGCCTCAAAGTATTGGGATGGCAGCAAAATAGAAAAGCAAACAGACCCAGGGGAGATGGGAGGAGGGTGTTCTTCTCCCAAACTGGTAAAGACTGTCCCCCTCTAAAGCATTCAGAGAAGTCCTATTTATAAGGAGAAAAATGGAAGTGACTAGAAACTCCCTTCAGTTCCACTTCTGTAGGGAGAGGTGTCTACATGTCACAAGCAACAACTTGATAACCATTTGCACTGTGAGAGCAAAAGGGTTAACATTCAGCCAGCTGAAGCTGGGTCTGGATTTGGAGGGAGGTGGTGAGATGGGGCCTCAGTTTGAAAATCAACTGTAAAAATAAAGGTATTGAACTTGATGCCCAAGAAATAAAGGTCCCTTCTGATGCTAAAATTTATGTACCAGAGTGGGTTTCTCATACACTGAGCACTTTCCATGATCTTCATGTAGGAGGGAGGAGGGGACAGCACAAAGACAGCTGGCTACAGGACCCAGCTCCAACTGAGGGCCCATCTAGGAGAATACACATATGGACTCCAGTGCCCACCCTCTCCCTCCTCGGGCTACTCTGCTCTACACATCATGGGGGCCATTTGTGATCCCCACTCCAGAGAGGGCCATGGCTCCAACTCACACAGACCCTCACCTCCCACACTTCAAAAATGAATAACTCCAGGAGTGTGCTGGTGGTTGGCAGGAGGATCCATCCAGAAAGTTCCAGTGGGGCTTTCCATCTGTCTAGCTCAAATTAGACAGGCAGAGAACATTGGGGGAGTGGAAATAAATGAGGAGAGTGGATAGATTGCAGGGAGTTATTTGAGGATTAACACTGATAATACAGAATACGCTGTGGCCTGGGCAGGCGAACTGTGGAATAAAAGTGCTGTGGATAGAGGAAGAGGAGATAGAATGATCCTCTCAGGACAAAGGCAGGTAAGACACTGTCCTTTGAGTACACAGCATATCAAGGGCCATTATACAAATACAAATAACATGGCTTCTTTTCAATAAATCTATCTCAAGCATTTCCATTTTCACTCAGAATACAAAACCTGCTAGAAATCTCTAAGCTAACTGGTGACTCCAGAAAAACCAACAGTTTGAGAAATGTTGCATGGCTGGTGGTCATTCCTGCTTGCTCCTTTGGTTAGGTTTCCCTCTGTGTAAAATCTAAATATACTTGAATCCTCACATCCCTTAAAAACGGCGCCTTCCTGACATCTTTTCACAGTGTGGAAACAAAGAGAGAGACAAAGACTAGAAGGAAAGGGGAGCGTGAGATGAAAAATGAGAATGTTTCCAGAATGAAGTGTGCGCCCTTCAGGAGGCCACTGTGCACAGTGCCTCCAGGACAACTGGCATCTTAGAGAGACGAGCCTAGGAAGGGGTCAGCAGTGGCAGCTGGGCTTCTCAGATGCTGGCCCCTCACAGGGTCAGATTCTCACAGGCAAATGTTACTCTCCATGTCCCTGGGGCATTTGGGGCTATGGGGTGACCCAGGCACACCTTAGACATCAGAGGGAGGTGTCTCAACTGCCCCAGCTTATTCTCTTTAAGCAGACCCTGAGGTGGGAAAGCGAAGGCAAAGTCATTTTCTCATTCCCACATCCCTTCTTTTCTACAAAATGTTATTCTAATTTGCCTGCTTTCCATCTCTTCTTTCAAATAATTAAGAAAGAGAAGGAGGCTTCAGAGTCCTATATAAGCTGCCAGAAAGCTTCCAGGTCTGGGACAGCAGGCATTTGGGGATTTCTGGCCAGTGAGGATGTAGCCTGGGTGTTCTCCTTTTTCTGGACACCAGATGACCTGTCCATGGCACCAGTAGGCCCCTCAGAGACTGAGAGGATGGGACACACCCAGCTCCCCATCATCTGGTAACAGAGTATCACACAGCCAAGGACCTAGAGTGTACTTGCAAGGGACAATTAAATGTAGGCCTGTGGACCAAGTGTTCTGCTTGCTCCCTGAGGAGACAAGCACTTGGAATCTTGGACCACATTTAAAATAAATCTTCAGCAGAACTCAAATTCACTAAGCAAATGATAGCTTATTCAGAACACTCTGGCCCCAAGCAGGCCATGTATGAAGAGGGTGTCAATGTCAAAGCTGTGTTCAGTAAAGCACTTCCAACTGCTATTTGCCTCTAGCTTTTGCTAGCTCATATCCATGTGAGAAAGCCATCATCACTTTTAAAGGGAAGACAGTTGGGCATATGAGATGAAAACCTGAAACTCACCCTTCTGATAGTTTTTAAGAAATTTTAGCTCTCTTGCAATGTTGGCATGCAGAATTAGGTCTCCACCATATCCCCACCTTAGTCAGACAGTCCATATTCAGGGACCACTTCTGGCTTCCTGAGGTTTAGCTGCTCCAGTCCATCCCCAGTATGTACATTAGCACATTTTAATCATTGACAGAAAGGACAAAGCCCCATGAACCCTGCGGGCTGAGGCTACAGGCCATTCTCCTACTCGGTTAGAAGAGCGGTTTCCAAACTTGTATTATTTTAGTTTATGAAGTCCCTTGGCTCAAACACCCACTGACAATTCTTTTTTGTTCTCAATGAATACACTTTTCAGGGTTTTCTTTCAAAAGCATTTTATCCATCTGTGATGGATATTAAGCCAACTTTTTATCTTTAGTCCGTATAAACAGTTAATTGCTTTGATAAATTGCTTCTTACTTTCGGAGTCACTGCAGTCATATTAATTATAAGGGCTTGTTTGCACAGAACTAAAGAGACCTAAAATATTCCCACTAGAAAACACACAGGGCCCATCTGTCAAGTGGGATGCTAGACTATTACACCAAACCAGAAGCAAACTGATTTTTCAGCTTTTCATAGTTCAGTGTAAACACTATCTCCACCCTGAATGGAGTGACAAGCTCGACAACATATTTAAAATTAAAAACCACACTGTGAGCAAAATATTTAAAACTTTTTTTAAATTTTCTAGGTTGAGAGCTTGTGTTTTTCTGTCAATTGTCAAAATCACACACATAAATTGGATCACTTCTTAAAATTCTTTCTAGGACTAAAAGTAAAGCTTTTAACTCTATCTTTGTAGCCTCGGGAAACATTTTTATTAGGAAAACTAAAACCTGACTTCCAATGTATCCAGCATTTGGAAAAGCACTTTTAGTTTGATGCTTAGGCTTTTTGGATTGTGGATTCAGACACTCCTAACCATCAGAAGAGTTTTTAGACATAAGAGGATGTAAATGGTTCAGCTTTTCCCATTGACCTTTGAGAAATCAAAACAAGTGCCCTGCTTCTGCTTTAAACAAAATGTAGTATAGGAAAATTAAGTGTTGGGGAAGAGGAAGGTATCTGTGAGGCCCTCCTGAGTTGGGTGAAGAAGAAAGAAACTTATAATCAGATGTGGGGACCAGAATTAACATCATTCTCCATAAGGACAAAATCGCCTAAGCCACTCAGGACCCAAGCCTGAAGGTAGACCCAAGCAAACCCTAGCAGCCCTTCTAAGAGAAAGTTTATGCGCATCAGAAGTGCTTTCTTACCTATCTGCATCACCCTGCCAAAGACAGAGGTGTTATCCACCGTGCTGCAGTTCCATCTCCGATGCCTGAACTGGTACTGGCATTCTTTGATGCCCGTCTTCGCACCTTCTCCAATGTACTGCATGTGGTCCTGATACAAGTGGCACAGTTTCTTCTGTCCTTGAGACAGTCCTGCCAGTTGGCTGCAAAGAGGCTGTGCGCCTATGATATATACTTCTGACATCTGAACAGGGTTATTCACACCTAGGGACCTGCAAAGGGGGTGGAGAGATGTGCATATAAGATTTGCATGAACTCTCTAATAGGCCTCCAAAAAGCATGTCAGCAATACATAGTGTGAAGCGCACAGATGCTTTTTCTCTCCTGTTTGTCCTCATTACAAAGTAGAAGGGCTTCACAAAACTCCTCTGTTCAAACTTCATTCAGAAAACGGAGGTACTGTGTAGTCCCCACTCCGACATCTGGCTCCTTGGTTAGTGCTTTCTCTGCCTTCCTCGCCAGTTACCATGTAGTACCTGAACCAATATTTAAGTTCCACTCAGAAAAAGGGGAAATGGTGGTTTCTCAGAGACCAGCTCCCTACATGAGAGTCAGGCACTTTGCCTCACAAATTGGATGGCTCTGCCTTGAAAACAGATGAATGGTGAAAGCAGACACAATTAGATACGGGTAGGAGATAGCAGTTCCTTTAGAGGGATGGAAGAACAGAGGAACATGCATACAGGCTGAAGCAAATTCCCCCACCCTTCTGGGCACATTAAAAGGGCTCCTTATGTGATTGTGAAGGACCCAGGACAGGGTATCAGTGAACAGAAGTCATGTTTGACAGTCAGAAAAATGCTGTTCATTTACTGGGGGAAAATATCCAGAACGCCGTCAAAAATAATCCTCTGGATATATTGCAGTCCAGAAAGAAACCCCCATTTAGGGACATTTGACTACTTCAAGTTCACCTCCTTTTGATCAAATTTCAAGTCCAAATACTTCTCTACTTGGAATTTAGCTGTCTTCCTATGTTACTTCAGACTCTGTAGGTTAATAACATCAAGTGACAGAGAAATAAAAGTGCAAACTCACTTTTACTACCTAGAGGCGGCAAAAAGTAAATTTTATAGATAGGCTTACAATGATTAGAGGAGCGTATTGGCCTTTTATTACAATGATGTACTGCAAGCCCACCGTCTGAACAAGGGCCTCATAGAAAAAGGCCTAGATTTATAGGTTCAGAGTCCCCCATGGAATTAAATACACACTTTACAATATTAGCAAGTTAAAAGAAAATTCTGATTTAAAAAGTACACAACATAATATGCATGTGTATTAGAGAAATGTACCCAAGCTCACTATCCAGCTTTAAACACTGCAACATCATGCAAATGAATGTTTAAAAATGGAAAGAATATACTCATAGAACAAACTTACCACCAAGAATTAGCTTCGATTTCAACCTGGGCGAAGGAGAAAAATATGGCCAGAGCCATTAGGAGGAACTTGGAACACATTGCACGCCCAGCTGTCCCCAAAGCCACTCCTGGGCTTAATATTCCAATCGGCTTCTGGAGAGGGAAGAAAGGGGTAGATGTTTATTGCTTTCAGATAATTTTCAAGCATACAAGTTTAAACAACGGAAACATCCGGGGTCTCTCAAGTTTACTGTTGATTGACTGAGCTTCTCCTCCGTGAGATTTTTGATGGCGAGATATAGGCAGTTTCTTTTTTCCAAATTAATCCACCCATGCAGTCTCACCAGGAAATCTGATTTCGCTGGGATCCTGAGCGAGGGGCAGGCCAGAGATTACAAACATGTCTTAAAGCTGTTGAGTCAAAGCCCCGGGGTGCCAGGCGCTGCTGCCTCCTTCCTGCCCGCTCCAGTCCCGCACCCCTTGTTCCCCGCTAGTTTCCTGCTGCGCTCTCCTGGGGGATTTCACTCGGGAACCCGCCGCCAACCCTAGTCCTTTCCCCAGACCTGGGCGCTAGCAACAAGTGGAGCCAGAATTAATTCCTTGGGCTGGAGGAGCGCAGAGGCGAGTGGAGAGCGCTGCCGGCGGCTGCCTAGGAGGCGGGGTGGCCGACACGGGGGTGGGGGTGGGGGCAGGACGCAGGAGGGAAGGGCAGGGGGTGGGAGCGAGGCCCCCGGGACCAGTGCGCGAGAGTGCCCAGCTGGGAAATGCAGTTCCGAATTAACATCGTATGTTTCATAATCAGTTTACGGGCCGATTTGGGGAAAGCCACTTCCAGATGGGGGAAGAGAAGCCTGAGTTTCCTTTAGGAGGCTCTGGGGCGGGGAATAAGTGTAGGGGAGGTAAAGGATAATGAATGGGAAGGAGAGGCCTGCTCTCTTACCCCAGGGAACCAGGAAAGACTGCCCCGTCCCCCACCAGCGGCTTTCTCTCGAACCGGTGTGGAACTCTGGTGGAAGGGAGTCGGGCTCCAGTTCTGAGGGTGGATCTTCCCTGCCCTTCGGGCCGGGCCCTATTCCCACTCCCCACCATTCTGACTTTTCACCCTTCCATCGGCCCCCACATCCCGCAGCCTCTGCCGAAGGATGGGATGGAAAGCCCAGAGGGCCTGGTCTGGGATCTTCCTCCTCGTCTCCATCCGCACTGTGACTGTGCCCGGAAGCACCCTGTCACCCCGCCTGTAGCCTAGCTTCTCCCGCTGGATGTGGACTCTGTTCACTTAGTTCCGAAAGGCAGGCAAAGGGACTGAGGTCTGGGCGGCCGAGAGATCCTCAGCAGAGTCAGAGATACATGGCTGTCTCCAGAGCAGCAGAGGAAACCCTAGAGAACTGGGAGGAGGATGCTCCCTTCTTGAAGATAAGCGGGGTATAGAAAGTTTCTGCTGCTGTTCCCACTGGTGACTTCTCCACCTGCAGGCGGCGAAGCGAGGCGAGTGCGGGTGGGAGGAGGAGGTTTCCATAGTCCCCTCTCACATCTCTGATAAGTGTCACTCAACAGCAACAGCGCCTGAAGCCCCGGAGGGAGGAGGCCCTTCCTCTGTTTCCAGAGGAAAGAAAGGTGAGCCTCCTCCAGTCCATGGAAGGGCCCTGCCTGAGATCAGCTCGGTAAAATGGAAGTCGAGGACCCTGGCGGCAGTGGAAACGCTAAGGGGTCCTGGAGCGTGCTGTGTCTTTCCCCTGGGAGCCACCCCTTTGGCTTGGACATTTCCCGGCTCCTCTGCGAGGACTTGCTTATGGGGTCCCCAGCGCCTTGCCAGCTAAGGAAGGCTGGGCGCGCGCTGCCCAGTCGTCCCCAAAGCACTGCAAAGCTAGGGGCGCATCTTGGAGAATGGAAATCTGGGTTTTCCCCAGTCTAGGAGAGAGAAGGCTCAGTCTGCCTCCCAACCCCCGCCCGAAGTGTCAAGTTTCCTCCAGGGGTGGGGTGGGCTGCAAGGTCTGCCTTAGCGCGCGGCTGCAGAGCAAGAGTCCCCAACCCAGGCCGAGGCCGCGCACACATATACACACACCCTCGTCCTTACACACACACCTTCGTGCACACTTGCACACTCACACGCGTGCCCAGGCATACACTCCTTCGGATGGGCTCCCAGTCGGTTCCCAGATCGCTGAGAGCCTCGCGCACTTTCCGCGCTTCGAAGCGGGCGGGGCGTGCGGGCGGGGCGCGGGCTGCGGTGAAATTGATAACAGATCCAGTGGATTACAGCGGATCTCTTTGTTAGAGCCTAAACCACACAAACTAAACCGAATCTTCTTCTGGGTGAGTCCACCAGGACCCAGAACCCGAACCAACAGCGAGTGGGGTCACTGTTTTTTTTTCCACACGGGTCTCCGCGGCTCCAGAGTAGGGCTGTCTCAAGCAGATCCTACGCGAGTACCCCAAGAGTAGATTCTGCCTTTAACCCCCTTCACTTGTCCGGAAACACTTTGGTTTTCTTTCCTCTCCAGTCCCGCTGCAACCCAGAAAAGGCCCCACAAATTTGAAAGATTCAAAGAACACACAGCAAGCTCTTCTATGAACACATCCACTCTATAGAGTAAAACAACCCTGCCAGTTTACAAGAATCTGAAGCGAGGACAGAATAAAATGAGAACTGAAGGGTGACTGTCACAACAGGCATAAAACAAAAGTTCTGCCCGGAGTTTTCCAAACAACAGCCAACAGGGCCCCAAGGAAACCGGCTCTGAAAGCTTGCTTATCAGTCCCCCAGCGTTTGGAAAGGAGGACAGCGGGCTTTTGAGTGGCTCAGCGCAGGGGTGGAATGAGGTGCAGGGCGTTGGCGTCCCAAATCCTGAGTTGCTCCATCTCTGTCACTCTGCTTCCCCTTAAGTACCTGTCCCAAAGACTCCAGTTTGGATTGAATTCATGGGGTAGACCGAAGTGTAACCCAAAGGTGCCAAGGTAAGAGGAAGGGAAGTGATGGGGAAAGCCAAAGCGCAGGGACAGGCGTTCTCTTAAGGAGAGCACCGAAGAGGCTGAGCAAAAGGATCCGCGGCCACTGGCCCCACCTCACTCTGTCTGGGCATCTCCTTCTTCTAGACTCCACATTTAGGGCCCAAGTCTAGGAGTGGAAATGATGAAAGACGCCAACTAGGCGGAAGAAGTGAGTGACCCGAACTCCCGGCGTCGAAAAGGAGGATGGGAAACTCCAAGATGGAACTTCCCCCTTGGTGAAAATTAAACTGTGCCCACTCCCAGCCTAATCTTTCCCTGAAGCAAGGAGAGGGATGTAGAAATGCGCCGGAGAGAAACTCGGTTGCAGCCACAAACTTTGGGATGTAGGCTTGGGGAAGAAGAAAAGCCGGCAGAAGCCAGTAGGGGGTCTGCATAGGGGAAATAGACAAAGGAAGCTTTGCTCCCCACCACTAGAGCCTGAGAGCCACGGCTGCCCCAGGCCCCAGTGTGTGCTGCCAGCGCCTCACCCACTGTGTGTGCTCACACAGCAGGGGGAAAAACGGCCGGAGAGAGAAGGTGGAGGTTACTCTAGACTCGCAGATAGGGCCAGGAATGGAAACCATTTCTGAGAGCCTCTCAGAATCGTCAGCAGGTCGAAGCACAGCGATACTTCCAAGAGAAGAATGTTCAGACAATTCGTTCTCCTCCTTTTCCTGGGTCTCAGTGATGCTCTACGGGGTTCTTCAGGACCAACACACAAAATTACCACTCCTAACTCAGCACAGACTCAAATCTGTCCAAAGTTGAACAGAATATCCACGAGGGAGAAAGAAAAGTAAAGATCACCCCCTCCCCAGTCTTAGAGGCAGCTTAGCCGCTACTATTTTTTAATAACCGAATAAGCGGAGGCTGAGAGCGGGAACGCAACTCTTATCCAGGATCACAAAAAGAACTGGGGAGACAACAGGCCACACCGGTTGCCTCCTGGCGACACTCCTTCTCGTATTACCAGAAAGGGTACGAATCAGTCGTCTAGTTGCCCAAGCCCCCTTTGCTGGGTTATACCTAAGGTTCTATCCTATTCGCGGCTCCACGCAACGCAAATCGTCCCCCCCGGGGGGTCTCAGAAGGGCCTCCGTGGGAGAGAGGGGCCAGGGATGAGAAGGAGCTTTTAAGTGCAGAGAGCACCCAGCCGCGGGAAGGAATGGAGGTGGGAGGCGCCCTTACCTTCAGATGACCAACAGGGGGCAGCCGGCACCGCGCGCGGGGTTAGAAAAGCTGTGTTAAGGCTTCCAGTTCTGCCCGCACTCTGCTAACCCCTTGCGGACCGCTGCTCCCCAGAGTGGAAGACGAGCGCGGCTCTCACAGGGTCTCCTTCAGGAGGATGTTCCCGAAGACTAAGAGAGGAAGACTGAGGCCACTATGTTCAAGACTTGAGAACAACTGATCTTTTACTTTCCCCACCCCATGCAGGGCAGGGATCCCCACGCGTGGAAACGCTCTATTTTCCACCAGTTCTTAGTCGCTGCGCACTCTTGGCATTGTTTCCCCCACCTCCAAAGACCCTGATGGAAGCTGTCTTGAAACCAAATCTGGCTATTGCAGCGCGGACTGTACTAATAAAGTAGGCTGGAGGGCAGGGACTGAGGAGGTGCGACCCCCACCACAGGGCCCAAGTTATTTCTCCGAGAGCGAATTGTCCATTCCGACCCGGCATAGAAAATAGGGCCTTCGAGCAAAGCACAGGGTTTTAAACCCTTTCTTTGAGGGAAGAAAGTTGCTTGCTTCTAGGAAACATCTTCGTTCCAATTCCAACCTATTCTCTAGGAAACCGGAGCCGTGAAGTAAAAATGGAAATTGCAATTGAAACGTGGAGGGCAGAAGAGGAAAAGCTGTTTGGAAAACACCAAGTTATATTGCAAGAAGAATCCTTAGCTTTTTGTAAAAGTGAACTCTCAGTGACCCTCAGAGTGTGTGACTCGGCTTTAACATACAACTGACAATTAAAACAAACACCAGTTCACAAACTGGCCCCCGCCGGCTCTCCCTTCGCGGAGGCCCTAGAGTGTGTGTAAAGCACCAGGCTGACTTCGCTCCGGGGGTCCAAGCGCGCGCACTCTCCCCGACAGGATTAGAGCCTCCGAGACCACTACTCCCCACCCCCACCGCTGCTGTAAAAGGTCCTGAGCTCACCCAGCGGCCGCTAATAACGCTAATAATGCGACCCCGCTCCCCGCGAGGGGTGCGTGCTGGCCCCCCTCCAGGCACTCTTAAAGGCACAGGGGCCTGGAACGCTCCGGTTACCTGATCGCGACCGCCAGCAACCTGGCCCAGGTCGGGTGTTGGGGGTGGGAGAGTGCATTGCTTTGGAGTAGGTGGCCCCAGTCTGCCTTTCCCCCTAACCAGAGGAGTCCTCTTTCCCCCGAAGAACCCCAGCCATACACCCTCTCCGTGCCCCTGCAGTGGGCGCTTGAAAAATATTTGTTGAATCGAATCATTATCCAGTTGCTGAAATACACATAGTAAATTACACTCCGGGTTCTCCGGATAATAGGAAAGACGTCCATGACCCGCACTGTTTTTTCTGCCACAGCTCTTCTCCACAGTTGAAAAGGTTTGTAAAGTAGTTGGTGCAATGAGAGTTTCCAAGGACGCAGAGGCTGTGTCCCCGGGGCAGGGGGAGAAGAGATAGGAGTCCCTGCCAGCGACGCAGTTTTCCTTTCTTAAGGCAGTTGGAGAAATGGAGGGATAAAAAGAATATGTGGAGGGAACTCACTTAACTTCCAAAAAAAAAAAAAAAAAAAAAGTGGCAAGCGTCGGCGGCGCAAAGAACACCTACCTTCATGGCCAGGGGGAGGGGGCGCGGGGAGGAAGTCGCCACCCGAGCGAGGGCAGCCAAGGAATCCGAGCGGAGCGGCCGGGTTAAGCCTGGGGGGACGATCAGGAGCAGGGCAGCGGAGTCCTCCTGGGCGCGTCGGGTGGGCGCAGTGAACCGGAGCGGGAGCGGGCAGTGGCGCCCGGGCCGGGGCTCCCGAGCTGGTGTAGCCTGGAGATGCTCCTAGGAACCGAGACAGCGCAGTGGTGCTCGGGCCAGCAGCAAGGGCAGGACCCAGCCCGGACGCAGTGAAGGAGCCTCAGGTCCAACGAGGGCGAGCAGGCGACTGTTCCGCGGCGAGGCGCTCCCTCTCCAACGTCCATCAGCGACGGCGGTAATTAGGGCTTTCCAACCCAAATGTGGGCGTGATTGTGCAAAAGACTTTACAACAAATAATAAAAAAAATTCTTCACAAGAGGGTGAAAAAAATGCCCTACTACTCAACTGTGGCCCGAGGCAGAAAGGGGGGGGCGATCCCTGTGCCCAAGGTGCCCCCAGTTCATTCACACCACGGATTCTGCAGACTCTGGCGGCTCACGCCTCCTGGTCCCCAGCTCCTCCTCTCCAAGTCTGTGGCCGAAACTTCTGCTTCCAGGGGCTGATCCTGCGGCTGAGAGTTTAGTGAGTGGACGTCTGTGTACACACAGACACAGACACAGACACACACAGAGACACACACACACACACACACGCACGCACACACGCACACACGCACTGCAGCTTTGGGGTCACAGAACAATCAGGCGCGCATGGTTTTTTCTCCGGGAGATACCGCTGAAAATGCACAAGTCGCCATCAGAGCTGCAAGAGTCAGCGCCAAATTTTGTCCTTTCATTTTAGGGTCTGGCAGAAACTGGGGGCAAAATGGGTTTCAAGTCGGGCCCAAACTTTCTGGCGCGCGGTGGCTTGAGTAAGTAGTGGACAGCTAGCCCAGAGGAGGGACGTCTGCTTCCCCCTTCTCGCCCCCTTCTTTCTTTCTTCGGGCTAACCTTCCTTCTTTCCCTCCCTGCCTTTCCAGGGCGCAGAGGAGCGACCCGGACGGCGGGCGCGGAGCTCGGGAGGAGCGAGAGCCCAGAGCCCCGCCGCGGCGACTCAGCTCCGGAGGTCCATGGCGGGCGAGGCTGCCCACGTCCTCGATCGGTGCCCGGGTCCGAGGGGCAGGCTCGGGCACGGCGGCGGCGGCGGCGGAGGCGGAAGGAGCTTGCGGAGCAGCGGCCGCAGGGAACCGGACTCCGGACGGCGGAGGCGGCGCCTCGGAGCCTGCAGCAGCTTTCCACACGATCCGGTGCCCCGCAGACTGACTGCCCCGGCGCGGGGACCGCGTCCCCCCCCCCCCCCCCCCCCCCGCCCCCCTTCTCCCATTTCTGCAAACCTAGCCTCCCTTTCTCCAAACTCCTCTTTCCCCTGGTGTTCTCAGGGAAAAAAAATTTTTTTAAGTTGCAGAACTAAACGCGGCTAGAAAGAATCAAGGGGTGGGGGGGTGGAAAAAGAAAGAAAAAAGTCAACTTTGCCTATGCGCATGCGTGGTGAGGCCGGCCTATGACAAACTCCGCAGGATTTTAAAGCCGTACTACGGGCCGGGCCGGGGTGCTGGGAGGCGGGGTACGCTCCCCTTTGGGCCCCTTTCTCTAGGCTCCCCATCCCCCAGGCATCTACGGAACGAGGTCCTCTGGGCTAAGGCTGCCTGCCAGCCGCCTGCTTGGCTGTGCGTCTTCCGAATGGGTCGACCCAGGCCAGAGACTGAACCCCAACATTCAGGTCCCGACTCCTTGGTTCATCTATCTCAGACCGCACCCTCCAGGGCCCTGCAGAGATTACTGCCCTGACAGGGAACCTGTACAGACGTCTTCTTACCCGTGGGGGAGGGAATTTAAACTCTGGGCTTGAGGGCAGTCCCCAGTGCCATAGGGGTTTGGTAGACAGATTGCTTCTTGGACTGCACCCCAGCTAGCCAGGCGAGAGGAGAGGTCCTGACACCGATCTGGGCAGCTGCTCTCAGGTGAGAAGACTGCGAAGTTAAGCCACACCACGTTCGGGAACTTCTAGACACTTGTAGATGACAGTAGAGTTGGTGCATCTGTGTCCCCAACCCTTAGCACGCTCGGGGCGCCACCTCAAACAGTGCCCCCCTCCTTCTCCATCTTTCCCACCGTCCAAAGGGCAAAGGTGGGAAATAGACACACGTCCCACTCACGGGAGTCAGTTTTCCTCATTCACTGGCATGCACTTACTTGACCTTAGGACGCCAAATCCCGTGGTCTGAGTACTTAGGGGTGCTGACAGTTTGGGTTTGCTCCTCAGGTTCCCTCCCCTACCACACCCCACTCCAGCTGACCACCTCAGAGCACGTACCAGCTGCAAGCTTTAACTCCAGAGATAGGACCGCACCCTCTTCAGCCCCAGCCCAGCCCCACTGGTCCTGGCTGACTGAGCACCTCCTCCCCACCCTGATCCCCTGACTCCATTACTTGAAGTGCGGGGTGGGGGGGGGGTTGAGCTTTCTAAAACCTGCAAGATCTGGTGGCTCTGCTAGGTGCTCTTTGACTTTTCTTCACCTGGGGTGCATGCAACTTTTAAAAAAGCCAGAGGCTCCCAAAACTCCCCTTCAGCTCTTGGGTCTCCTTCCTCCAACCCTCTCTAGCTTTGACCACTTACTAATTTGTGGGCATTTCAGTAGCTTGAGATTTGCCTACTGGAAGCAAAGGCAGAAAAATGAGAGTCTTTGCCACCAGGAAATGCTCCCAGCCCACCCTCTCTCTCTCCAGTTACTCATCTCTGTGGCTGCAGCCTGAAAGAATTTATGACCCCTTGGAGCCCACTTGTTCCCTGGTAGGCACCCCAGCTCTGTCCTGAGGTAGTATGTCTCCAGGACTCAACACACCTGTGGCTGCTGAGAACAAGCAAAGACTGGCTGTGAATGGAACTCTCAAAGGGCCCAGAAGCCACCTGGTACCCAAGTGCCCTGGATTCCAGAGGCAACTCATATAAAGGAGCCCATTCTGTGACAAGCAGGGTGAAGAGAAAATCCATTCCACTTGCAAAGTCAAATCAGAAACACTGACAGCCCAATTCTGACCTTTTTCTTGATTTTAAACTACTGTTTTCTGCATTATCTGGATCATTGCTGGCTCCTAGCCAGGAGGCTTCATGGGTCAGACAAAATGCCAAGAGTTCTATCCTTTGTTCTGTAATTCTGCTAGTGGAAGATGGTGTTGAGTAGTGGTCAAGAGCAGCTCCAGAACCTGTCCTGCCACTTTCTAGTTGATCATAGGGCATCTCAGCACCTCCAGACTTCTGCAATAAACACACACACCACCACCACCACCACCACCACCACCACCACCACCAGAAGCAGCATGATGTGTCTGGAAGAAGTGTTCTGAGGATGGAGCGGGAGGACTCTGACAATTAGGGAGTGGCGAGGATGCATTTTGATGTCCACAGACACACTGAGCCTGGGCCAGAACTCATCTGGCACTAGATACCTAGCTCTTCTAGAAAAATCACCTCTGAAAACAGGTTTTCAAACACAAACTGGAGCTCAGGTGGCCAGATCTTTATTGTACTTGCAATGAATGCTCATACTTTTCACTGAAGAAATACGAATATATTTGATTATTGGTTATTTCCCCAGACATCACTGATGCTGTTTTGAGTCATACACTGTATTTTTAAAAAAAGTTTTTTTTGGCAAAACTTCTAGTAAGTCTATCTGGTCCTAAGGACTTCAGATTAAGGGATGAGAAAACCATCTGATGATTTTAGTGCTGGGTGCACTGACTGGGCTGATGCCACTGGAGCATCAAGTCATCAGAGACCGTGGCCTCAGTCATCAGAAGGAGTCATCACTTAGGAGATGCTCAATTACTACCCAATGGGTGAATGGTTGAGTGGATGTAAGAGTTATTTCAGAGGAGGATGTCAAAGGAACAAACCGGAAATCCCTTCTGTGCCTTTAGTGAGGGGTCCTGGGGGTAGGGCTGTCCTGGAAAGCTGGACTGCATCATAAGAACACAATCCTATTGGGGATGTTGGTTGGTTGGTCTGACTGGGAAACAGACAGTTGGAAGTGGGGGAGAAATCAGTGCTTCTCACTGGGAAGGCTGGGGATGAACAGTCCCCAGTCTGTGGATGATCCCCCATCACCCTGGCAAAGGGTGCCTGCATTTGGGCATGTGCTCTCAGATTGAGTCATCTAATGACAAACTGGCAGGGTACTGCCATGCTCCCTCTCATTAAAAATGCTTTGGAGTCCACACAACAGATAAATCAATATTTTTTTGGCTGCTCTCCCAACACGGCTCTTTTCCAAAGCAGAGTGCAAGATAAGGAATTTATGAACTAAGGCATCCGTGTGCCGCCTTTCCCAGCGGGAGAAAGCAGAACCTGGGTTGTCATTCTGGGAAAATCTAGCCTCCTTTTATGCCTGGCAAATAATGTTTTATGGCCCTAGGTTTATGGCGGGTGTTTTTAATGATCTGCTGTAGAAAGCGGTTTTCTCTCCAGTCACTAGAATTTGTCAAGAAGGGCTGGAGGCCATAAAAGAGGGCTGGGCCCCAGGGACAAACAGGCTCCATCTTCTGAAATAAACTAATAAAGGGCCCCAAGATGTTTACCCCTTTGCCTCAGAGTCAAGAGCAGCAGGACTATGTGAGGGGCCCCTGCAGATGGAGCACTAAAAACAGGACAAAGAGGCCGGAAGGGAGTCGGGGGGCTTCCTCAGCACCACATGGCCACAGTCAAAGTAATCCCATCACATAATGCTGCCACTGGCCACTGGCCTGTGGAGGACAAAGGCTCCCTTGAGGTTAGAGGCCATTTTGGGTCTCTGGATAGACTCAAGTCTTCTTAAATATCTCAAGTTATGCATGCCCTGGTCTAACCCCAAAGCCATTTCTTTTTACACTTGGCAGTACTTTCTGAGGGTCCTGATTGAATACTTTGTTCATGGAGCCATTGTTCTTTGTTTGTTACTGTACTTTGAGATTTCTTAAGGGACAGCAGGGCAGAAAGCCTTAAGTTTGATTCTTTGTTTTAGTGCTTGGTGGCTCAGTGACCCTACGGTAGCCACATGTCTCTGTGAGCTGATCTCTCAGGTGTAAAGTGGAGATAAAGAACAAGATCGAAGCTGTTCTAACCACGGAGGATATACAGAAGACCTTGGTCCAACCTCTGTTTGTAGCGGTCTCATGTGAATGGCAGATGCTCCAAGTATTTCAGCACTGCTGTTCACTAAGTCCCTGAGTGACATCCTGAGGAGGATGGCATGGAGTTCCAGAAGAGAAAAAGAAACCTGCCCAGCTACGTGGTGGGGTTTTATCAGGATGGGGTAGTGCTGGGCTATCTCTCTGGGGACATTCACTCAGCTCTCACTGTGTGACAGACACCAGCCTCATCTCACACTCATCATGCTGCTTCTCCTTCACTCCTTCGTGGGATAGATATTATCTTCACAGTAAGGAGAGAAGGGAAGGCTCGGGAAGGTCATAGTGTGCATAAGCTCAGTGTTTTAG